GACACTTTTTCAGCATTTTTAAGGTATCTCGCAATGCCAAGTTTGATATAAAACTTATATCTAAACGTTGGTATACCGATCCTATGCAAGCATCTGATTATTCTGTAATTCTGGGTATATCTGCTGTGGAATTTGATACATATGAAGAAATAAATCAAGTTATTTCTATTCGTGGACCTGATACGTATAGAGCTAGCATTCATAATAACATTAAACAAAATTAAGAATATGCACATGGCTTTGGTGTAGCCAAAAGCGGGTTAAAATTTGCACTTGAAAACAGGTTAGTTGATGAATTTGTAGGGCTGATAACAAGATTTATTGAAAATTATACTGGCGTTGATACTAATGAAAGAATGACAGTTGATGTTACCCAAATTGAAAATCCAAAAAAATTGAAGCATAAAGGGCATCCAAAGTTGCCGAAACCAGCACAGCAGAACGATCAAGATTTGAAAACAAGAAGTAAATCAAGACAAATCGCTAAAACAGATACTGAAGATGAATATGGTGAAGAAAGTTCATCACAAAATCGAGCTAATAATGATACAAATAATGGAAATTGTTCTTGTCGTCATTGTGGAAACTGTTATGGAACCAGACATTATTCTTCTATATGTCAATTTCCTAAAAATCATTTTAGATAATGCTACTATGCGATGCGTTAAAGGATTTTTACTAGTACATGTATTTAATCCTGACACTGCTTTTATCGCATTTTAGATTTAGATATTAGTTCTTATTTCAATGTTTTTTTTTTTTTTTGCTTTATCTAATTGGTAAAGACAATTAATTTGTATTATATTACTTCTCTGTGAAATCAGATATAACAAAAAAAAATAAAGCATGAGATCAAAGACTAATTATAGTAGTGTCTTCAATAATTGTGATCCAGCAATTTTCTTAAATTTACGATACTCTTGATCGTGTAATTTAATTTAACTGCATACATATAATTTTTGGGTATTGTTCAATACGGCTATAATATTCAATGTTGTATTTTATTAAAATATAAGTAGCACAATATGATAGTTAGTACTGTATTTAAGGATTATACATGACTTTATCATGTTACATCCCAACAAAATTTTTACCATCACATGATATACAAAATTCTTTAAGTTCGTTTATGTTAGGTTAGGACCTATGTTAGTGTTATAGTTAGAGAAGCTTTTTTAATAGTAAAATCGCTCAAGGAAAACTTTTTGTTAATACGCAGAAGGTGGTTTTCTATATAGATTATGAATTTTAACTGATCGCATAACATTACACAAATTGATATTCGTTATTGGCTTATTTTCATAGATTATCACGTGATGGTGAAATTACATACTGTAGTAATTTTGTATTACATAATAGTCACGTGATCTGCGATATAGCAGGTTGCGATATTTAACACAATCCTTTAACAAATATTAACGAAAGTTTATCTATATTGATTATCAAATTAAAAACTTTAAAGTTCAAAAGCAAAATTGATATATGCACGTACTACACACATGCATAAAGTCTAAAGAACAAAAATTGATACCGTTATGCGTATAACGATTAATAGCTATTAATCGCTATATATAGATTTAAATAAACTCGATGTTATTCGATAAATAGATTTGTATCAATTTATGTCTATTATTCGATAAAAATCATTTATAGATTTGTATTGATTTATAATAGTTTATCAATATATAGCGTTATATTCTAATCGATACAAAATGATTAATTGTTATATATCGATGATTATCTATTAAAAAACTTTCCTGATGTTAGGGGATTGTTCCAACTGCCCCTATATTACCTAAACAATAGAGCACTTTGCTCTTAAGTGCTTACTAAGCAAAGTAATTTGGGAAACAACTTACAAAGCATTAAACAATACAGATGAAGATGCTATCCCAGACTCTTGAAGATATTACACAAGCGACTAATATTGTAAATACCAAAAAGAGAAAAATAATATAAAGACAAGTACAAAGGTGCGTATTATCAGCCAAAAGAATAACAAAATGAGGATAACTATGGTTATG